GGCCGCCGGCCCGCTCCCATAGCCCTGCCGGCAGCGCGGCGGCTGGCGGGGCCCCTCGGGAAGTTTGATGGCTTCTTTGAGGAGAGTCAAAGTCTTGCTGGTGTTAAACCTGATCGCCGTGGCTGGCTTTGTCCTCTTCCTGGCCAAGTGCAGACCCATCACGACCAAGAGCGGCGACTCCTACCATGACATCCATCCCAGGGCAGAAGTGGCCAACTTGACAGCCCACGGCATCAGCTCCATCCAGGATGCAGTGCTGAAGAGGCTCTCGCTCCTAGAAGACATAGTCTACAGGCAGCTGAATGGTAGGAACAGTTCTGCTCTTTAATGCTTTCGGGGTATGGTCGGTGATGGTGAATCGATGCTCGGAGCAGGTGCCCGCCTTGCCTGAAGTTTGCATGACGGACCCCTGCTCTCCCCTCTGTTGTTGTGCAAACGGAGGGGAGAATCGATTTAGCATCTGATTTCCAAGTTCCGTGTATGTGCAAAGCTCGGGGTACCTTGCACAGAATGGAAGGAAATGGTAATAACAGAATGCTGCCTTTCAGATTTATAGCGCGGTCAGAAAATGACAGCGGCACGATTTCTGCATCAAACGAGCCGGGTGTGCGGCGGGTGAACACGGGTTGGAGCAGCGCAGGGTGTATTGATCGGGGGAATGGCTTTTACTCCCGCAGAGCTCGGTTTGGAAGAGGAGTTTTCAAATGGCTCAAGTGTGTTGCATCATTTGAGTGCAGAAGGTCAGAAAGCAAAAGGCACTTTCTCTAAGAAGTTAAGCAAACTATTCAGTATTTCCTATGGCTCAGCGCTGACAACTGCTAATTGAAATCTCAAGTAATGCTTCTCTTTATAGCACAGAAAAGGGATTTCTATTAGAATCTCACCAGGTTCAGTAGTTCAGAGATGTAGAAAGGGAATTTTAAAGATGCTGTGCAGGATGGAGAAACACATTGTAAAGATGTAAGAAATCCAGGTGAGGTATCTAATTAAAACACTCACTGTGGAAGCTGATTTTTTTAAAGTTGTTCCCCACAGATTCACAACTGGGGGTGTAATTTCAATCAAGGGTCTTGCTTATTGCTTCCAATCTCTGTAGCTTTAATCCCGGCAAGTTTCTGTGTGTTGGAATGAGCAGAGCTGGTGTTTCTGGCAGTGTCAGTGTGATTCCCTCTCCGAGTTTGAAATATAGAGCTCATGCCCCATTCTGTGCTGTGCTGAACCTGTGCAGGAGCTGGTGTGTGCTGTGTCTCGGTGCTGAGTCTGAGCTGTAGCTGGTGTCACTTTGCACCTAGGGGGAGAGGCAGGTGCAGGGATGCAGCGTGGCTCTCCAGGAGCACTTGGCTCAGGCAGTGGCTTTGGGGACAGCACTGAAGCACTCAGCTGAGGAGGAAAGTGTTACTGATATTCCTACTGTGTACACTTGCATGAGAAACCTGTCCTGCCTGTGCCTGGCGCTGTGAGATGCTGAAGTGGCACTGGTGAGTGATAAACAAAGGAGAAGCGTGAGAATAACGAGGAATAAGGTAGGAAGTTGAATGTTATGTGCAATCAAACTGTGAAATTGCCTGCTTCTGGATCCTGCTACGGCAGAAGTTTCCAGGAGGATTTAGGCAGTTATTTGGGCAATAACTGCAGCTCAAGATACGAGCCCTTATTCCAGGACATTGAACTAGGATAGGACAAGTGATCATGCAGCAGTCTGCCATCCCTGCAGACACAGGGTGAGCTGGGGTTATCACTTACTGCCCTTCTGTGGAGGTTAACCTGGGGCTCCCCACTCTGCCCTGCCCGGGGGGCTGCTCTTGGTGGTGGCTTGGGTTGGTGAGAGGGGCTGCAGGGGCAGGGACAGCTCGGTGCTGTCCCCGGGCTGCTGTGGGCACGGGCAGCGCTGTCTGGAGCCTGCTCAGTGCTGAGCAGCAGTCATGCACCTACACACCAGGGGAGGCAGAGAAGGAATAGATATGTTGGCATATCACAAACGTTTTCTCAGGGCAGGCAGAAAGCTGAGCACATAAATGTGACATCTTGTCTGGCCTCTACATCCTGGGGTGATTTATAGCAGCGCTGATCAGTCTGGCTAAAAAAATAGCTCTGGCACGGCGCTTATGTAACTTTGGGTCAAGTGTATATTTGGTACATGTGGTTTTGAGAGAAGCTCAGTGCTCTGAGGGGTAGCTGTGGGTTGTGTTTCAGCAGGCCTGGGGTTTACAGCAAGATGTGGGGGGGCCATCCCCACCCACCAGCACTGAAAGGAAACAGTCAGGGGCACTGGGACAGCCCCTGGGGCTGAGGATGAGGAGCAGCTGGATTGGTTTTCCTGCCAGGAATTTTCTGTGCTGGGATAAGTGTTCATCCTGGGCACTTGAGGAACACCTAAAATCTCCTGTCTGCTGGAAGTGTGCATTTGCTCACCATTTCTCTTTGATTTTTGTGCAGGTAGTTTTGTGCTGGTGCCTCACAAACCCCACTTCAGCTCTGGGCCAAGCTCCCTGACCAATGACACACTGAGAGATGAGAATTCTATTTTGGTTCTCAAAGATCACATTTCACTTGAAATCTGACCTGTGGTTTAGCAGCTACAAAATCATGGAATAAAGTTGTCTTGGTTTGAAAAGCCAGGTGTCTGCTAAGAAAGGCAGGAGCCTCCCCTGAAATGGAAAATGTAAACCCCCTCCCTCTGAATTATTATAATTTTCAAATTAAGGGGCCCTCAGGCAAAGATATGGGAGTAGGAATAACAGTTCTTTGTTAGGAAAATTAAAAATACAAATGCGATGATACAAAAAAAAAAGAAAAAAAAGAAAACTGCCCCATGGACAGCAGAGAACTGCCCCACCTCTGACAGATGAAAATAGAATACACACCCAGCTACACCTTTCAACCTTAGACAAAAGTATTATATATAGGGCAGCAAGTGGAAAGCCTGCACCTCACAGAGCACTGGGAAATGTTTAGCCAAAGAGAGAAGCTACAATCCGGTCTGGGTGCAGCCAGCTATGGATTTCTCCTGCATTATAGGACTTGGCTGGATTTCAGTGAGAGTTGAAGCCATCTTTAAGAACGTGAATGTCTTGAAAAGCTCCATTCTGTACAGATAAAATGAGCAATCACCATTGCTGTGGATTTGGTTTGTGAGTCATGTAGTGTAAAGCATATTGGAAATAACAGCTCTCGGTGCTACAGCAGCCCTCATGTTTTATGTGTATGTATTTATTTATCTCTGTAAAGGTTGGCCATAAAAACAAGGTAAACATCACTGCTTTGGCTCTGGGAAAGGAGGGATTTGACACAATCCTTCTGTCTGACTGGTGCTTCTCTGCCATGCTGTTCTGGAAATAACAGCAAGCTCTCTCTTACTCCTCTCTGGGCAAGAAGAGGTGTCCCAAAGGTGGCCCAATCTGTACATTTGCTTTGTTCTTTCTAAAAGTTGATTATTGCTCTTGAACTCGTTGCACAGGTTGTGTGGGGTTTGCTCTTTGCTGATCTAATTGATGGCTCCCACACACAGCGGTCCGAGGGTGCCCTTTGGAATGAAGGGCTTTGTATGTGTAGGCACTGATCTGGGAGTTCAGAGGATTTTTAATTTCTGCAGTCTCTTTTATGGATGGAATTCTCTTGTCCAGCAGATGTCCAGAGAAAGCTAATGGAGGTCAGAAATGAATGTGTGTATTTTACTCTGGGTGTTAACTACAACTTGTCTTTCTGATCCAAGCCTGGTTTTTTATGTGCTGACATTTACATGAGTACAAATTGTGATCCAGCTTATTTCCAACTTTATGGAGTTTTGCACAAATGAACTTTTCAGTTTGTGTTTACAAAGAGCGGGTTTCTGTGCTGTGTGACCAGGTGAGGAGCTGAAGGGAGCAGAGACTCAGAAGGGAGCATTCAGCATTTTCAGGAGCCATGTGCTGCTTCCTGGGAAGTACTGGGCAAAGTCTTCTCATTAGCTCATCTCATTCCTCTGGGGTTAATCTAGGAACCCAGTGATGACTATGAGGAATTTGAGAAATTGGGCATTTATAGGAGCCAGAGACAGCAAAGGTGGTCCAAGCTTTGAACATCCAGGTGGCTGGAGGGTGAGTGACGTGGCTTGAGGAAAGCTGGTGTTTGTGTCCAGTGTCCAAAGGTACTGTGAGACCCTCTCAGTGGGATGGGTCAGTAAATGGTGCTGCCATTGGAAAACAGGGATTGCAGGAGGGAGAGAACTCTCAACAAACCCTGGGTACAGCCATCCCCAGCACCTGCCCTGTCTGAGCATCTGGAAAAGGTGTGAGCAGATCACCTGTGCTGCTCACTGGGGACCTGGGGAATCTCCCAGGCAGCCACCTTCTAGCCTCTGTGTCCAGCAGAGGTCTGGCTCTTGGAGTAAAGCCTCCAAGCAGTGTGAAGGCTGGAAACTCCCTCTCTGGTGCTTTGGGTGCTGGTGGATAGGGGTGAATTCACAGCAGCAGCTGAGTCCAGTAAGTGCTCGGCTGCCTGGAAGCCAGCGTGACAGGAATGATGTGGCATCTGCTTGGCAGTGTGGAAAAATAGTACCAAAAGTCTGAACTTCAAGATAAATACTGGTAAGACAGAGAACAGAAGGGCATTGCTGACTCATCCAGAGCTCTTCTGTTAAATTTTATTTTGTGGTCTCTCAACAGAATAGTTTGGGTTGGAAGGCACCCTAAAGACCATCCAGTTCCAGCCCTCTGCCATGGGCAGGGATGCCTTCCACCATTCCAGGGTGCTCCAAGCCCTGTCCAACTTGATGTATAAGATCAGGGAGACTTAAAGCTATTTGCAAATTGTTGTAAAAGAGAGAGCAGTGATAAAGGAGTGCTGAAGTGAAGCTGGCCAGAAAAGGGGCGAACAGAGAGGGCTTCTTCCCCTGTGCTAAAGAAATGCACAGATTAAACTGCTGCTTTTACCAAATGTTAATGTTGAAAAGGAGCTTTACATTCCTTGGGGGTGAAATAAGCCTGTGTTCATTTTTTAAAGCAGTCTGCATCTGTGCTTTTGCACATGGAATAATGTGAACATGCTGAGGTATGGCCACGTGCATGCCAGCAGCCTCCTGTGTTCTGGCTGTGCTCTCATCTGCTTATCCAATTAAGAAATTAACTTTGGGAGGGTTGCATATGGACATGGAGGGCGACACTGAACCACAGCCCTCAGCACGGTGTTGCTATCCTTGTAAAGTGGCACTTAATTAACTTAAAACACTTTGGAGATATGTGGATTTGCTTCCCATAAGGATAAGATAATGCTTATCTGCTCTAACACTTATCATCCTCCAAACACATTACAAACTTAGCTAACCACT